GGGGTCTATTTCAAAACCAATTGGTGGAAGGAGGAGTAGCCCTTTAGACTTATAAGGTGGGTCTATTTTCCATGTATGATCGATGTGGGACACGCCCCCTCACTTGTGAGTCCTTCGAAAGCCCAAGCCCAATTGGGTGCCCCAAGCCTACTAGAAGTAGACTCCCATAAACGGGTACATGGGGAAGCAGACTCTCATAAACGGATAAACGGGTACGTCATCGTACGGTCCCAATAGAACCGGCTCTGATATCATGTAAGAAACTAGGGGGAAAATGGGTGCGGTCCCACTAACATGAAGTGCACCAAAAGCGGAAAAAGTCCATATGAAGCCCAAGTGGGGGTCTATTTCAAAATCAATTGGTGGAAGGAGGAGTAGCCCTTTAGACTTATAAGGTGGGTCTATTTTCCATGTATGATCGATGTGGGACACGCCCCCTCACTTGTGAGTCATTCGGAAGCCCAAGCCCAATTGGGTGCCCCAAGCCTACTAGAAGTAGACTCCCATAAACGGGTACATGGGGAAGCAGACTCCCATAAACGGATAAACGAGTACGTCATCGTACGGTCCCAATAGAACCGGCTCTGATATCATGTAAGAAACTGGAGGGAAAATGGGTGCGGTCCCACTAACATGAAGCGCACAAAAAGCGGGAAAAGCTCATATGAAGCCCAAGTGGGATTCCATCCCAAAACCAATTGGTGGAAGGAGGAGTAACCCGTTAGACTTATAAGGTGAGTCTATTTTCCATGTATGAACGATGTGGGACAACTCACAAGTGATATTCTAACACCCCCTCACTTGTGAGTCCTTCGAAAGCCCAAGCCCAACTGGGTGCCCCAAGCCTACTAGAAGTAGACTCCCATAAACGGGTACGTGGGGAAGCAGACTCCCATAAACGGATAAACGAGTACGTCATCGCACGGTCCCAATAGAATCGGCTCTGATACCATGTAAGAAACTGGAATGTAAGAAACTGGAAGAAAAACGGGTGCGGTCCCACTAACATGAAGCGCACCAAAAACGGGGAAAGCCCATATGAAGCCCAAGTGGGATTCCATCCCAAAACTAATTGGTGGAAGAAGGAGTAGCCCATTAGGCTTATAAGGTGGGTCTATTTTCCATGTATGAACATTGTGGGACAACTCACAAGTGATATTCTAACATGTAAGAAACTGGGGGAAAACGGGTGCGGTCCCACTAACATGAAGCGCACCAAAAGCCCTTAGGGGGAATATTTTAGATGGGTTTGAAGTTGACCCGTCGAACCAGCAGCTGGTGGTGAGCAGACCACTCTTGAGGCTGATGTTGTTCTTGTTTCTGCGGGGAAAGCCCATATGAAGCCCAAGTGGGGTTCCATCCCAAAACCAATTGGTGGAAGGAGGAGTAGCCCATTAGACTTATAAGGTGAGTCTATTTTCCATGTATGAACGATGTGGGACAACTCACAAGTGATATTCTAACATGTATTAATTCGCACCCGGCCCCATCACCTAGATATAAAAAGGGCAATGCTATATGTACACCCCCTTTTAATAAATTACACAAAGAAAAGTGCTATATGTACACCCCTTTTTTACACAAGGGGGTGTACATATAGACACCCCCTATAAAAACCTTAAATCGTGCTATATATCATTGCCAATATTATTATTATTATTATTATTATTATTATTATTATTATTATTATTATTATTATTATTATTATTCGAAATTGTGCAACCATATGTAGGTAGCTTGGCATAATTAAGAGCACGCACGCTTGTACCATACCAAGCAGGTTAAGCATGATTTTCCTTAATGAGATAGAAAAATATGAACACTTTTATGATATTTGTTAAGGGTGTGATGAATGAATCATAGCATAGCATAGGAGCCACGCTTACTAATGAAAACAAAAACAAACTAGTATTGAACTTAAATTAATTAATTATTGACCTTGATTTGATTACGTTTATCATTTGAGCAAGGGTTGAAAGCAAAAATCAACTTGCTCTAGCAAGCCTGTTTCACAAACTGAGCCCATTTACAAGTATACTCGGATCCAATATGAATATATGGATGGGCTTTTTTTCTTTTCTATAACCCATGTGACTTGGTCCAGATAACTCTTGTACAAACCCCATTTTTGTGTTATAAATTGAGATCCCAATACTGTTGTTAAAAGGAAAAAAATTAATTAATGAAATTATTCAAAATATTTTTATATCTTATAAGATGTCCTATATATATTCAAAATAAATTAATCAAACTTGTTGTCATTTTCTAATTCAAGATTATAAAATTACATAAAATTACTATAAATCACGATTTTTTTTTTTTTAAAAAAATACCATGATATAATAAGTATTTACAAAAATTTAAAATAATTAATAAATTTTTTTATTAAAATATGAATGACAATATAAAAGGCAATAATTAATTAAAAGTACTTGAAAAAATATCGGTCCATAAAATTAGATGTGTGAGAAATGCCTATTATTATAATTTCCACATATTTTTGCAACCTCCTAAAAGTAATGCTTATAGTCAACTTATAAATGTTATGGCATAAATCTGACTTACTAGAACTAGATTACCCAATCCAAAAAGAAATAATATAAAATCATGTTTCATAAACAACATTTTCGTTAAAAATTAAAATGTTTTATTTCAATAAAAAGTACAACAAGTATATGGTTATGATTAGAGTAAAAACCAGTGATAAATCACTTTCATTATTATTTATAAATAACTAGTACAACGCCCGTGTATTACACGGGTGCTTGCTAATTTTTTCTTAAAATATAAAATTAATGATAAAAATGAGTTGAAAAATTAAATATCTTTTATAAAAATATATATACTATTATATATTTAGTATGACACTTTTTATTTGTGCAACTTAAATGTGTTATATTATAATAATTTTTTAAACTTACAACATATAATTTCATTAAATATATATATATATATCAATTGAGAAATAATTTTATTTTCTAATAGATTTTTTTAAATATTATTATTTTTATTATTATATTGATAAATATAATTTATTTATTTCATATATACAATATGGATGTCAAATCGAAGATCATCAAAAGATGATAAATTTGGTATATTATATGTAAAACCGATAAGTAATACAAAAGTTATCAACTTTTAAAATACATTTATAATTCAATAGCTAATTGAAGGAAACAAATCAAAAGCCAAGGATATATTAGTCACTTAGTGCCTCAGTATTTAAATTACAAAGAAATAAATGGTTATATTAGTACAAATGATATTAAAATACCTAAGTTAGCTAAATAATATTTATGGAATGTCCAAACCTATATTATTAATTATTAATATATCAATATTATTTGTCCAAACCTAATTACGAAGCATGATTCTTTGCCAAGTAGGATTCTGAATCACCATAAGCAGCCACGTAGGCTCAGCCAGAGCCGGTCCTGAAAAATTCGAGGCCCTGGGCTAAATGATAAATAGTGCCCCATTTAAATTTATAATTATCATATTATAAAAAAATATTGAAGAATGAAGATTATGACAAAATTATTATTATCATATTATAAAAAAATATTGAAGACTGAAGATTATAACAAAATTATAAAATTTACACAAAAAAGAATTGACAAGTGCTAGCGCCTCTATATTTTTTATTTATTTATTTATTTTTGCTATCATTAAATTGATTTTCTGACAAAAAGAATTAGTGTAGTGCGTCAAGGCTTCATTTCCTCAAATTTCTAGGAACGGACTTGGTGACTATAATTGTAAAACATGTGTTCACTTTACAAAAATGAAGTTTTCAAATAAGGTATACATTAAATATTCTCGTCCTTTTTGTGACTATGTTTTGTAAATATTCTCTTATATATGTATATACTGAAAATATAACAATTATAATAATGTGAGAGAAAAAATTATTTACTAATAATAACTAATAATTAAATGTATGTAAGTAACTCATAATAAGAATTTGTTATTCCTTTCTATTAGACATTGAAAATAGAATAATATATTATAAGAGAGAAAAAATGTGGCAAAATTAGCAAAAAGAGACTAACATAATTAAAATTGAACAATTAATATTTTTGTCAACAGCCAACACATAATTTAATTAAGTCAACTGATAAATAAATTTGACAAAGTAGTTTAATTTTTTTTAAAATAAATTCAAAAATTGGATATAACTATTCGAAACAAGTCTTTAGTGGGCTAGGCTAGACAACTCATACCTATGCAAGCCCATAACAAAGTTGTAAAAGACTAATTAACATTGCTCAAAATAGTTGGTGATTAGTAAAACATCAATCTAAAAAGTCCAAGCATAAAATGGGGCCTTAATAATTCAATGGGCCTTTAATGCTTGGTGCCCCTCAAAATCTGTAGGCCCTGGGTGGGCCCTGGGCGGTCGCCCTGCTAGCCCTGCCCCAGGGCCGGCTCTGGCTCAGCGCATTTGGGAATAATATATAGGGAGGATATATGGAGGATGTCTTTATTTATTGGTTATTTTTTTTTCAATAAAGAAGGTCTTTATTTTTTATTTATGTATTTTATGAAAATTCACCAAATAATATAATAAAAATTAAAAAGCATATACAAAAAAAACAAAAGCGCACAAAGGGATATAAAGAAATACAGTGTCCTTGACTCCTTGTTGCCTGCTGCTATTCCAAACAAATTTCGCGCTTCTCATTACTCTTCGAAGGTACAGTTGATAGTGATCCACATTTTTCCTCTAAAAACTTCGCCACACTCATAAAAAATGTATGTATTTGATCCAACCGCATCGATCAACTGATCTTTATTTTGTTTATTTTTTTTGTTTGTATTTCGAGGGTTTTGGGGTTTTCTTTTATAGTTAGTTCGCCTGTTTCATATTTAAGTGCGGGTTTTGATCCTTCTTATGCTATTCTATTTCCTAGTAAATTTTTGTTGTTGGAGATTAGATAGGTACTTAATCATGGTAAATTTTTGTTGTTGGTAATTGAATGTATTTTGAGTTGTATGATTATAAATTGTCTACCTTTCACATAACTCTGATTGTGTAGAGGAGTCATGTTTTGTCATCAAGTTCCTATCTTCTCTGTCTTTTTGTTGAGATTATGAGTTATTATGTAAATGATCTGTCTGAGTTGTAATAGTTTCTTCTGATGAGTACAATTTTATTTCTTTTTTTTTTTCATAGTTCTACTGGGGTTTTTGGTCGAATGATGCTTTATTTCATTTCTTGTAATTATTTTCTGTAGAGTTTGATTTTATTATAAGTCAGAGTTGGATGGTATTTAATTGCCTTTTCCCTCTAGTTAATGTGTTAGTCAATGCATATATATATATATATATATATATATATATATTGTTAAACCGACTGCTTTCTGGAAGTTTGTTAGAAAACAGTAGAAAATTCTGGCAATGAAAATTTTCCCTTGAGGAAAATGTGGTTTTGTTGAATGAAAAGAAACAGGAATAATAGATCATGCACATTTTCAGCTGATTTTAGTTCGAGGAATGATTGGATGAGTGCCTTTGCATTATAGGCATCACGTAGAAAGTCCTACAGTGTTCTCCATTTTGAATTCAGTTTTATTTGACTCTTGATTATGTTCCCCCAATTGCCTTATAATGGGAGCTGGTAGAAATATAAATGACTTTCTTTATTAACGAAACTTCTCCTTCTTGAAGGATGGCATCAAACGTGAAATGGGCAAGAAATTTGAACAAGAGCCAACTCGGTGGTGTCATATTTGGTTGCACACAGAGCACTATGAGAGAATGTCTAGCCAACCAGCTCTTTGGTTAGTCATATTGGATATTAGATAATAATCTTTGGTTTCCATAAGCTTTCTTTCACATGCAGTCTATATATTGGACATGGTTTGGACTTGTCTATACACATTATCATTTCCTTTTCCTGTGCTTGATAGGACTGCCAGCACATCACTTTTCATATGTAAAGAACATTGAGCCAGGCCTGCCGCTATTTTTGTTCGACTACAGCGAAAGGAAACTCCATGGCATCTATGAAGCTGCTAGCTCAGGCAAAATGGGTATCGATTCATATGCTTGGACTGCAGATGGTTCGGATAGAACGAAGTTCCCGGCACAGGTAGTACATAGAAATTCCTTCGGTTATTTAATGTCCTAATAAAAGTCTTTGATATGTTTCACCAGCTCTTCAAATTAAAGAAAGGTGACGATAATCCTTTTCCTTTATAAATTTGAACTAATTAGGTCCAAATACGTCTTCGCCTGCAATGCCAAGCTCTTCCCGAATATCAGTTCAAGCCAATAATCATTGACAACTATTACAGTCAGGCCCATTTCTGGTTTGAGTTGGATCATGCTCAAGCAAGCAAGTTGATGTCCAAGCTCTCGTCTTTAGCAGTTGCTCCAGGGACATCTATCCCTCAGAATCTTCCAAATTGGGCTGCTGTTGCTAAAAGAGGTGAAAGCGGACCTTCGTATCCTCCAATTTCGGAAGATGATTTCATTAATATCCATGACTCCATTGGCTCATCCACCACTTCGGATGATTCTTTCTTTATGAATGGAAACAATCAATCGATGGATGCACCTTCGCATGGCCAAATGTTGGAATTTGATGAGAAGGATCTAATTTACATGAAATTGAAAGAAATGGCCCTCGGTTGTGAGTTCTTGGATCCATGCACAAGTGATGTGAATCTGGAGCATGAAAGTCGCGATGATGATGTGGTGACTGTGGAGATTAGGGATGGTGGAAGCTCTTTGGAGTCAATCGACTATCTTACTCTTATAGGAAAGGTACTAAATTCAGTATTCAGACTCCGGTGGATTCTGTGTATCTCTGGAGCTTTTTCGATCTACTAACTTGTCTATAGTTTTTTGTGAGCTTGTTTGAGCTTCAACAATATTTTTTTTTTTTCACTCTCGAGTATGTAATAATAATAATAATAATAATAATAATAATAATAATAATAATAATAATAATAATAATAATAATAATCAACATCAACATACACAGTATATTCCCAACAGGTTGGGGTCTGGGGGGTCAGTTGTACGCAGACCTTACCCTTGTAATTATACAAGGAGGCTGTAATAATAATAATAATAATAATAATAATAATAATAATAATAATAATAATAATAATAATAATAATAATAATAATAATAATAATAATAATAATAAATTTAACAGTCTTTTTTTGTTATATTTTTATTTTTATGATTTTCTTAATTGAAAATATAATTATATTTTTTATACTGTCTGCTGACTTATACTGTTAGCCCAGTTATCTGACAGCAAATGAGTCAATGTTGATTCCTTATAGCCTTTTCATATATTACTACTGCGGATAAATGCATGCGAAAAGTATGATATTTCCAGATTTGATTTTTATTCATTTGGTTCTGCTCTTATTTAGTTATTTTACTGGCTCAATCTTGACTGCTAGTTCATACGTGTGTTTCATTTCATCCACTTGAACCTCCATTCTTGCCCAACTCGTTTATGGTGCACTTTTGAGATAGCTGGCCTCTGTTATCTATGTTGGATGCAGTTATGCAGGGAAGTGGAAGAGTTAAAGACTTTTAGGCGAGAGCAGTCTCAAAAGATGGAAAGTTTGCAAAAGAAATTGGTAATTTTTTATTTTTATTTTCTTTAACCTTACCTGTGCAATTTATTTTACTTTTTTATCTAATAAGATATTTTCTTGGCGATCCTTGGTCAATTTCAATACAAAGTAGTAATGTGATAGAAAACGGATATCGTTTTTTACACAGTAGAGGAGCAGGTGGTAATGTAGCACTTGTTTTTCCTCATTGTATTAGCATACCCAATTTATTTATTTGGTTCTGATCATATTTGCGGGCAATACATCTATTGCAGCTTCTACCTCTAGCATTGAAGAAGCTAAATATTACATTATGATGACAAGCCTTTTAAAATGTTCTGGTTGGTGTCTTTTATTGTCCTGATATTCCCACGTAATTGATTGCTCATCACACTTCAGGCGGAGGCAGAACAAGTAGTCCATCGATTAGAAAACAAATTCATGAAATTGGAAACCATATCCAGAACTTCCATGGGACTTCCTGGTGATGAGGTGCTGCTCGAGTCTCCTCACGAAGTTCAATTTAATCTTAACGAGTCAATATTATTGGTTGGTGGATTTGATGGTGAATCGTGGTCATCTGCCCTGCAATCCTTCTCACCTTCACATAATGTCTTGAGATCGCTTAAGCCGATGTCTTCTGTCCGTTCGTATGCTGCAGTTGCATGCTTTAATAGCGAACTTTATGTATTTGGTGGTGGAACTGGTTCTAAGTGGTATGATACAGGTATATCTCTCTCTCTCTCTCTCTCTCTCTGTCCATATAAATATGTATAAAGTGTATATATGTGCTAATGTATATATCTATGAGAACTTGTTTCTTGTTCTATGTGAAGTTGAGTCGTATGATGCTGCAAATGATGAATGGACAAAACGTGCGTGCTTGAACAAAGCTAAGGGAAGTCTAGCTGGTGCTGCTCTGAATGGTAAAATATATGCAGTTGGTGGTGGAAATGGAGCTGACTGCTTCTCTGATGTGGAAATGTTCGACCCGTATGTTGGACGGTGGATATCTGCACGCTCGATGCTAGAAAAGGTAGTTTATATGTTGTGGATCTTGCATAATTTGTCATTGTTCCCCTTCGCCCCAACAAAAGGAAAAAAGAAAATATTTTGATGAGTGAGTGTAGGTCTTTTATAAGATAAATTCTATGCGGATAATTCTGTGTTTAAAATTAATTTGTTTTTTTTTACTCTTGTGCCTTCTTTTCTTTCGTTTGTGAAGCGTTTTGCTCTTGCTTCTGTGGAGCTTAATGGTGCAATATATGTTGTTGGTGGATATGATGGATATGACTATCTGAAGTAAGTTGAGATTTTTTTGGCTGTTGTTTGGATTTTGTTGAGAGTTCTTGTTACTAAATTTGGGAAATCCGGGTTTCGACATAAAGTGTTTATTCTGGATTCTCGATGTTATCCAGGAGTGCCGAAAGGTTCGACCCTAGAGAACATTCGTGGATCAAAATCAAAAGTATGGATGCTAAGAGAGGTTGTCTCTCTCTGGTCACAATGAACGAAAAACTGTATGTTCGTAAAAACCATTCTCACATCTGAATTTATTTCCATTATGCGGTAAGTCGAGATTTTTAATCTTTTATCCTTCTATGATTTGTTATTTTGGATACGGGTACAGATATGCTATTGGTGGTTATGACGGTACAACAATGGTGCCGAGTGTAGAGATATATGATCCTCGTCTCGAAGCGTGGATGGCTGGTGAGTCGATGAATGAAGCTAGGGGATACTCGTGTGCTGCTGTTCTTGGTGAATCTATTTATGCTATTGGAGGAGTTAAAGCTAATGAGGACATTGTGGAAAAGGTAAACGTATACAATTTTCGGTCTGTTTTTTTTTTTTCTTCAAATTCACATGTTTTGATCTTTCTCTTTTGTAAAATTTGTATATGTTGTCTGATTTCTGTGATTTTGATGAAATTATTACAGGTTGAATGCTACAAGGAGGGACAGGGCTGGCAAGCAACGGATTTGAATGCGGTGGGAAAAAAGTGCTTCGCCTCAGCTATTGTCTTAAAAGAAGATTGAAAGTGCTGGGAAACTAAATATTGACACAATTATTAAATTATGGGGGGCATATTATATGTTTAATAATGTTTCTGGTTGGTTATAAATTTAAGAGCATTGCAATATTTTAGACAAGAAAATACTTCATTTTTCTAACTTCTTATTTTCGGTTGACTGTCTTTAGACCTCATCGACACTGACACACACTATGTTTTTAGTGCATGTATTTGTAGAACGGCATGTTACATTCTAGACGAGAGTAAGGCATGAATCTTTATGTGTGAGGTAGGCTAACCGTTAGACGGTCGACTCGGCCATTATTCTCAAACAAAAATGCATATTTTTGCTACAGAATGTTATACTTTTATTCATATTTTTTTTAGAATGACATTTCAGTTTGAAAGTATGTATATTTGATGAAAAATATGGCTATTTATGCCATGTTTAGTAAATTTAGTTGATAGCTATAACTTAGCTGATAGTTTATAGGCTGTTTGATAAAACTAGTTGATAACTTATAAGCGAATTTTGAGCTTATATATATATATATATAGCTGATAGCTTATAACTTATGGTTAAAAAGTTAGCTGATATGATAAAAGCGTTTGATAAAAGTAGATGATAGTTGAAATAAAAATTTCAACATTCTTATTGAAAAGTTACCCAAAGAAACTTATGTAATAAACTCGAGCTTACTAAAAAAGTTATACTAAATCAAGTTTATTTGCATATTGGAAGCTTATAAACTAACTAAGTTATAAGCTAACTTATGACGCTTACTAGGCATACTCTTGATGAATCTTTAATCTGATTTTTAGTTTTTTTGTTAAAGAAAACTACTCTTATTGTTAGCCTCCTTGATGAATCTTTAATCAATTTTTAGTTTTTTTTGTTAAAGAAAACGAGTCGTTCGTGAACTCGACTCATTTTATGTAGTTTTATTCGTTAAGGTTCAATTTCAACTTGGTTAAAAAAAAAAAGTCGAGTTTGAGCTCATTTATTGATGCGAAGAGCTAGTTTGAGTGGATAAAAATTATGTTTGGTAAACACTATAAGTTAGCTTACAACTTATTTAGTTACATTGTAAGTTGTATATATTTAAATAAGTTTTGTTTTCTAGGACGATTTTTTTTTTTAAAAAAAAAAAAAAGAAAAAAAAGTGGAGCTTATCTCCTATGTTTCTTTAGACGATTAAATAAGTTTGTTAAAATTTAAAATTTCATTTTTTTACCAAAAGTTTTTATTATATCATTTAGCTTTTCAGCCATTACCTATAAACTATAATTATAAACTTGAAATGCAATTATAAACTAAGCCAAATTCTTAAATTTGACCATCAATTTCTAGGGCAAATGGGAAAACTAAACAAGACTATCCATTTAAACCGGAGCACTCCACCTACTCGAATCGGATCCACCGACAATCTCCCAAAAATTCGCTATAAATTACCACCATCCTCAATACCATTTTCTCAATTGTCGAGCACCAAAAAAAATATGGCAGCAGCAAATTCTTCTCCCGCGGTTCTCCCGATCTCGAACCCCCAATTCGTCCCCGCCGCCGCCACCAACGCTGCCGACAACCAGCAATTATCCTCAGCCGCCCCTCCCTCCGCTATACGCGCATTTTTCTCCGGCATCTCCTCGACGGTGCGCGCAGGCCTCGCCCACCGCCGCCCCTGGCCGGAGCTCCTCGACAGATCCGCCTTCTCCAAGCCTGAGTCCGTCTCGGAGGCCACCCTCCGCCTCCGCAAGAACTACACCTACTTCCGCACCAATTACCTCGTCGTCGTAACCGCCGTCCTCGCCGTTTCCCTGCTGACGAACCCGTTCTCCCTGATCCTCCTCGCCGGCCTCCTCGCCTCCTGGCTGTTCCTCTACGTCTTCCGCCAGTCCTCAGATCCGCCGATCAACCTCTTCGGACGTCAATTTTCCGATCGCGAGACGCTTCTCTTCTTAATCGTATCGACCGTCGTCGTCATATTCCTCACCAGCGTCGGATCTGTTCTCGTGTCCGCGCTGATGGTCGGCGTCGGAATTGTGTGCTTGCACGGTGCTTTTAGGGCTCCGGAAGATCTGTTCCTTGATGAGCAGGAGCAGCAGGGAGGTGTTCCAGGCTTCCTTTCTCTCTTCATCAATGGTGGTGCCCCCGTTGTCGCCCAGCCATCTGTACCTGCTAGGGTTTGATCGTCTGTTGGAGTAAATTCTATTTGTTTTTCATTTTCTTTTTATAGATCTAATAAATGAATCTGATTGTTGAACAATGAAGCAGTAATATACATATTATATTGTTTGATGTCATTAATATTGGTGCGTGGTATTCGATCTGTACGAAACCCACAATTCTTTTCCTTACACGCTTCATTTGATGTTCATTTGAGTAATTTTTTGATGTGTGTATGTTTCTGATTTCTTTACTTACAAGGAGGAGCAAGCTAATTTATATGCTTTTAGCACATGTTTAGTTCGTGTTGTATGCCAAATCTGATCGTTTCCCAAAACCGGTAATGCGAATTCTTGCAGATTGAAGTTCAGAAAATTATCAGGATGTTTGTTTGTTTGCCATTTATTTGGTTTGATTCCAATTTAGGTGGTTGGTCGCCGGTGATCATAGTAAGATTCTGTTTGTTTTCCGAGTTTAAACACTTTTTTGAGTTGGAAGAGTTATTGTAGACAATTCTCCTGGCATAGTGCATGACTCAATTAAATTCTAGTGTTTCTTCTATTAGTGAAGTTTCTAGTAAAAAAATATATCAAATGACCCAATGCACCTTGGGTCGCTACGGAAACAACCTCCTTGTATAATTACAAGGGTAAGGTTTGCGTACAACTGACCCAGACCCCAACCAATTGGGAATATACTGGGTATGTTGTTTTTAAACACTTTCTGTAAATCAACGTATGTTTGATTGATTAAAATAGATTAAGCATATAATAACTCTTGACATCTTACATGATCATGGAAATGGATTCTTACCCAACCATTTTCCGTAATGTTGAAAGCAAAGTCAGGTAAACACCGTTTTATGTTTTGTCTTTGCACTTGTGCTCACTTACTTCTACCCATAATTCGATAGCCTGCAGAATATATTGGTACTCGGCCCTTGTTTTGGCTGCCAAACTACCTTGTTATGCCAAACATCAAATTTCTAAATTATGAATGTATGCAAGTGATTAATGTCTCATATGCAAAGTGAGATTTGGCTGTTTAATCCATCTGCATTTCACTGTTGTTAATGTGCTCTTTTGACCTGTTATAGAAGTGTCGTGTGATATACTTTGTCGAACATCGTAGCTTTAGGAAATTCAAGCGGGCAATTATACGTTTGAGGAATTACAGCAAAAGTGATCTGTAATCTTACTCTCATAGTCTCATGGCAAAAGTTAAGAATCGGTTATGTATCTGAGTAATGAAACACTAAAAAGAACAGACTAAAATGGCCAGGTGCTGAAATTTATTGAGCACAATGCATGTGATTTAATGGCGATGTTAAACCAAATCATATCTGAAAGAGGATAAATTATCACTATAATCATTAATCTCCCCACTCCTCCATTAGCCAAGCTCAACCTGCTTCAGGAATTAAACCTGAGTCACAACCTGATCCAACACAGATGAGTAGTAAAACGTATAATAATGATAGTAAAACGTATAATAATGATATTTTTGGCATATTTATCATAGTTTTGTTGATAAAGAAACAGTCAATGCACTAATTTTTTTTTTTTTTTTTT